AAAAAAAAAAAAAGAAGAGGGCTGGGGTTGTGGCTCAGTGGCAGAGAGCTTGCCTAGCATGTACACTGGGTTCAATTCTCAGCACCACATAAAAATTAATAAAATAAAGGTCCATTGACAACTAAAGAGATATTTCAGAAAAAGAAGGAAAACAATATTAGACTATATTAAACAACATTAGGACTAGAATTAGAATAAAATTACTTGGTTATATATATAATAAATATATATTATATATATATATATATACACACATACATACACACCTTATAAATGTTTTAGAAAGCAAGAAAAAGGAAAGACCAAGCATAGAACCAAAATATGAGAATTTCAATCTAGTATGCCCCCTGACCATTGTGGATCATCCTCAGTGAAACAAAATTATATGACAGAAAGAAAAAAAATACAATATAGGGGTTGAGTATAGAATTCAGTTGTAGAGTGCTTGCTTCACATGCATAGGGTCCTGAGTTTAATCCCCAGCACTGCAAAAAAAGAAAAAAAAATACACATATACAAAACATCACCAACTTTTCTTTGAGGTAGTTTTTCAATTAATATTCCACAGAGCAATGTGTAAGAGTTTCTGTCAGCTAGGTACAGTGGCACACACATGCAATTCGAGCAGTTCAAGGGGCTGATCCAGGAGGATCTCAAGTTCAAGGCCAGCCTGAGCAACTTAACAAGACCCTGCCTCAAAATAAAAAGGACTGGGATCTGGAGATGTAACTCAATGATAAAGTGCCCCTGAATTCAATCCCCAGTATCAAAAAAGAAAAGAAAAGTCGGGCTGGGGATGTGGCTCAAGCGGTAACGCATTCGCCTGGCATGCACGGGGCACTGGGTTCGATCCTCAGCACCACATAAAAATAAAATAAAGATGTTGTGTCCACCGAAAACTGAAAAATAAATATTAAAAAAAGAAAATTCCCTGTCACTCTCTACCTTCACCAATATTTAGAATTGTTAGACTTTGTTATATTACTCTTCATAACTCTGGGAGTGTCAGAAGCATTATATGAAAAGTTTTTAAAAATAATTCCATTTTTAAAGGTCAGATTAATACACACACACACACACACACACACACATAACAGGAAGAAAGGAAAGAAAAAGAAGAGGAGGAGGACTAGGGATGTAACAGAATAGAGGGCTGTCCTTCCCAAGAAAAAGCAGCTGGCATCTTTGCCCCCACATACATCGATGGTAGTAAATAATCACGGGCCAGCCCCAGGCAGTTGGGGCTAAACTATTACACAGCTTCTCTCATTATAAATTCATAAAAATTGATCCATTTTGCAGATAAGAAACTGAGGCTTAGAGAGATGAAGTGATTTTTCAACCTCTAAATGGCCATACTGGAATTCTGCCTGATTCGAAAGTCATACATTTCTCCAGTATGCTGCAGGTGGGCTGAAGCCAGGGAGGCAGAGGGTCCTCCGTGAGAAAGTTGGGCCAGATGAGGTGAAAGCACACCCAGAGGAGGGCTTTATTCATTCAGTCAGTAGAATGAGGGGAGACACAAATGGAAGTGAGACAGGAATTCAAGAGAAGGTAGACTAGCTTCCCAACTAATCAATCCTCCTGCCTCCCTGATATCTCTCTTCAAGTCTCAGCTACCTGGAGCTGAAGAAACAAGGCTTGGGCAGGGAGCAGAGGCAGAGTTAAGAGAAAAGATAGCAGGAAGAGCCCAAGCCCAGAGAGCTCTGCCTCTAGATGCCCCCCATGTTCCAGTCACTCTATAAGCTCACCAGCTCACTCAACCCTAAGAGTGGGCATTATTGAGGAGACAGAGGCTCAGGGGACTTTAGTAATTGACCCACTGATGCTAAGCCAGCTGAGTGGCAGGGCTGGGATTCAAACCCAGGTCATCCTGCTCCCAAGCCCATGCAGTACCAGGTGCTTCTCAAAGTTACCTTGCTGGTTCCCCACCCTTGTTACCTGTGGCTGGAAAAAGGATGGCCTGGGAGACATCCTCCTCCTCCGGCTCAGAGCCCCTGCGTGTGAAGCCCCCCACAGCGTGTCTTCTGGGCAGCCGCCTGATTCCAGGACTCCCACTTTCCCCCATCACTGCTGGGGGCCCCAAGGCATCCAAGAACAGGGCCCTCACCTTGGCCAGGACAAGTTCCCTGTCCAGCTCCAGCCCATGGCAGCCCTGCCCACCCTGCGGGGCTAACAGCAAGAGCAGCAGCAGGAGCGGCAGCTGAGGTACCATAGCTCACCTGGCCCTGCGAGCGGGGAACCCACACCCTGCCCTGTGTCCTCTCTATCAGGGTCTGCCCAAGGCCTCTGCAACCTCCTCTCCCCATCCCACCACCTGCCCTCTTCTATCCTTCTCACCCCTCTTCCCCAGCCCTTCCCACGCCCTGCAGTCCAAGTCACCCCTGCCCATGGCATTGAGACCTCCTATCTCTGACGCAGAGGTCTGTGGCCCTGAGCCTTATCTCCCACTGGGGCCAAGAATGTGGGAGAGGGGGCTGGGGAGGATGTTCACCCGGAGTGACCTGACCCACACATACAAACATACAACCTCTTCCCCCTACACACACACCCACACGCTGTCTCACATCTCAGCACCCAGCACAGAGGTGACCTCAGGTGGGACAGAAGCAGCCTGAGAGCTGGGTTTGGCCAGTTTCTGAAAGTGCCTTTTGTCAGAAAGACAGAATGCATCAGCTTCCTTAGCCCCTCTGAGAGCCCTTCAACCAAGCAACTGCTGGGCTAGCCTAAGCGAAGGGTTGGGCTGCAACTAGAACTGGGGCTTGGGCGGGGGGCAGGTGGTCCAGCCTGCTCTATACTTAGCCTGGAGGAGCCAGGCTGGGCCCTTGTCCTCCAGCTGTGTCATCAGAGAATATTTTTGGGATTGGCAGCTGCAGGCGCCTCTGCCACTCAGGCCCAAGCCTGGCGGGCAGTTGGGGACCTGGCGGCTGGAGGTGGGAGGGAGGAGGGAAAGAGGCCCAGGCTGTGGGAGGGGGCTGGGAAGAGAGCAGGAAACCAGGCCGCGGGCAGAGGAGGCTGCGGGGCCCCTCGCTGGAAAGGCAAACAGGAAGGACTGCCCCCTAAGCTCTGGGCTGCGGGCCGGGGAGTTTCCGCCGCGCGCCAGAGCTGCTGCTCCAGGCCGAGGGTAAGGAGGCGAGCCGGGAAGGGGTGGACTGGGGCGAGCTCCGCGGTTCCCCAACGCTCCAGCCTTCGGGACTCGCGCTGCTCTCCCGGCCTCGGCGCCACCGCCGACCGCCCCTCCCCCGCGCCGCGGTGGGGCATCCGCAGCCACCGCGATGAAGGCAGGCTCAGGGGATCAGGGGAGTCCCCCGTGCTTCCTGCGCTTCCCGCGGCCCGTGCGGGTGGTAAGTGGCGCGGAGGCCGAGCTCAAATGCGTGGTCCTGGGGGAGCCGCCGCCCACTGTCGTGTGGGAGAAAGGCGGGCAGCAGCTGGCGGCCTCGGAGCGCCTGAGCTTCCCGGCGGACGGCGCCGAGCATGGCCTGCTGCTGAGCGGCGCGCTGCCCACCGACGCCGGGGTCTACGTGTGCCGCGCTCGTAACGCGGCCGGAGAGGCCTACGCGGCGGCCGCGGTCACCGTGCTGGAGCCGCCGGCCCCCGAGCCTGAGCCCCAACCCGCCGAGCACCCGCTGCCGCCTCCCGGAACCGGGGAGGGCGCCCCGGTGTTCCTGACGGGACCCCGGTCCCAGTGGGTGCTGCGGGGGGAGGAGGTGGTGCTGACGTGCCAAGTGGGGGGCATCCCCGAACCCACGCTGTACTGGGAGAAGGATGGGATGGCCCTGGATGAGGTGTGGGACAGCAGTCACTTCGTGCTGGAGCCCGGCCGCGCCGCGGGTGGCCGGGGCACTAGCCTGGCGCTGCGCATCCTGGCGGCCCGTCTGCCAGACTCGGGCGTCTACGTGTGCCACGCCCGCAACGCGCACGGCCACGCGCAGGCCGGCGCGCTGCTCCAGGTGCACCAGCCCCCCGAGAGCCCGCCGGAGGACCCCGAGGAGGCCCCCGCTCCGGTGGTGGAGCCTCTCAAGTGCGCTCCCAAGACCTTCTGGGTGAACGAGGGCAAGCACGCCAAGTTCCGCTGCTACGTGATGGGCAAGCCTGAGCCCGAGATCGAATGGCACTGGGAGGGCCGTCCCCTGCTTCCTGACCGCCGCCGCCTCATGTACCGCGATCGCGATGGCGGCTTTGTGCTCAAGGTGCTCTACTGCCAGGCCAAGGACCGCGGGCTCTATGTCTGCGCGGCTCGGAACTCTGCTGGCCAAACGCTCAGCGCTGTGCAGCTGCACGTCAAAGGTAGCGCCCTCTGAGCGTTCTGGGGCTGGGGAGGGGCCTCCATCGCCCTCTGAGGTCCTCCTTAACTCGTGCTCCCCTTGGTGCCCAAGTCTGGGCGACAGGCGGAAACATTAAATACCAGTTTCCTAACTGACTGCCTCTCACCCCTCAGATATTTGATTTAGTAGGTTTCCAAGACACTCTGGAATTTCTTAGCCCATTCCAAGGCACTAAGAAATGGTTGATGCACAAACCGCGAGAACCCTAGATCTGTTCTCCAGTGGTTTCCAACCTTTGCTATCTTAGCCCTTCCTCAACTGGATTCCCATTTGTAACTCCAATATGTAAGACAGATATAAGGAGCATTTTTATCTGTCTAAACGAATAAGGCTAGGTCTAAACTTACAAGGTTAATCAGTCAGAACAAGGGACTGCAGTATTTGGAGTGGAGGCTGGATGCATAGTGGGTCTAATCTCTGAACCTGTGGGGAAGGCCCTGATGCTGACATCAAGTAGAGAAACTATTCATTCACTGGAGAGGAAAAATATCCCATAATTTTTGGCTATTCTTTCATTAAACTGCTCTTTTAAGTTTGAAAAAAGAGGAAGGTGAAGGAGAGAAAATTTGTTTTTCAAACTTGAATCACCAATAATATCTAATAAATGCTTACCTTATTCACAAACAGAAAATTCATACAAAACAAAAACACACCCCATGCTCACACTGGAAGTTAAAGTTCTCTATAATAGGATTTCATCACAACATGAGGGGTTATACCTTCACTGGTTATTACTCAACTTTCTGCTGGGAAAAAAAATGTTGACAAATTCTTCCAAGCCCTCCCTGGCACTCACTCAAGCGTGTGGCACCTGGGCTGTAGCAGTGGCCTCACTGGTACAGCTTTATGTGCACGAACTTGCCAGGCCAGTGCTGAATTGGAATTTCATCAAGAAAGAAAAGCCCAGAGGGAAGGCAAGAGGAACTTCCCAGAGTGCCATAAAAACCAGCTTCTCCAGCAACCCAAGTTAACCCGCTGGGATTTTCCAGCATCGTATGTCTTTTTATCTTTTCTCTTTCCTAACTTTTCTTTCTTTTTACTATATTTTTGAAAATGGTTAGAATATCTTAATAATGAAATTTGACTCGGACCCTGGCAGAATTTGTGAGGTGCCTCTGAGAAGCCTAAGGGATCAGTTTGAAAATCACTGACCTGAGATCTAACTTCTCCCCTTGCTTTTCTCATTTTACAAGTAAGGGAACTGAGGCACAGGTCTTGCTCAAGGTGATGTGGCTAGCAAGTGTCAGGGTCAGATGAGAAGGCCATTGTTTGACTTCCCTTCTTATAATTTATGATTCCATGTCCTGCTGTCTCTGGGGAAAGAGAAAAGAACGAGATCTCATGTATGTTCAGGAGCCCTCTTCCTGGGCTGGCCTCTCTCCAGAGCCTTCTCTTGTCTCTCCCCTCTCCGCAGAGCCCCGCCTCCGCTTCACGAGGCCCCTGCAGGATGTGGAGGGCCGGGAGCATGGGATTGCCGTGCTGGAGTGTAAAGTGCCCAACTCCCGCATTCCCACAGCCTGGTTCCGAGAGGACCAGCGGCTGCTGCCCTGCCGCAAGTATGAACAGATTGAAGAGGGCACCGTCAGGCGCCTCATCATCCACAGGCTGAAGGCAGATGATGATGGTGTCTACCTGTGCGAGATGAGAGGCCGGGTGCGCACAGTGGCCAATGTCACAGTTAAAGGTCAGCTGGCCAGTGGGAAGAGGCTGAGGCTGAGGCTATGGCCGGCAGGTGCCTAGCCCTGGGCTGATGGCTTGCCGTGCACATCTCAGGGCCCATACTGAAGAGGCTGCCCCGGAAGCTTGATGTGCTGGAGGGAGAGAACGCCGTGCTGCTGGTGGAGACGCGAGAGGCCGGGGTTGAGGGGCGCTGGAGCCGTGACGGGGAGGAGCTGCCAGCCACCTGCCAGAGCAGTTCTGGTCACATGCACGCCCTGGTCCTTCCAGGGGTCACCCGAGAAGAAGCTGGCGAGGTCACCTTCAGCCTAGGCAACTCGCGCACCACCACTCTGCTCAGAGTCAAATGTGAGGACATGAAGGCCTCTGCCCAGGAAGGCCAGGGTGGGAGGGTGACCAGACACCAGAGCCGGGGTCAGCAAAGTATATTCAAAGACGGAGGGCTGTGGGAGGCTTGAGCAAGATTGAGTGCAAACCCTGCCCTTGTCTCAGGTGTCAAGCACAATCCTCCAGGACCTCCGGTGCTGGCTGAGATGTTCAAGGGCCACAAGAACACGGTCCTACTGACCTGGAAGCCTCCCGAGCCACCTCCTGAGACCCCCTTTATCTACCGCCTGGAGCGGCAGGAGGTGGGCTCTGAAGACTGGGTCCAGTGCTTCAGCATTGAGAAAGCTGGAGCCGTGGAGGTGCCAGGCGACTGTGTGCCCTCGGAGGGTGACTACCGTTTCCGCGTCTGCACAGTTAGCGAACATGGCCGCAGTCCCCACGTCGTGTTCCATGGTTCTGCTCACCTTGGTGAGTCATCCTGCTAGACCCTGCCTGTTAGTGGCTGTACCCCAAGTCATGTCCTCCCATCACCACTTCGCTCTCTCCCAGCCCTCTGCTTTCTGGTTTCTTCACTCTGTCCCCTTCCGGTTCTGATGGTCATACTCTGTCCTACCTCAGTGCCCACAGCTCGCCTGGTGGCAGGTCTGGAGGATGTGCAGGTATACGATGGGGAAGATGCTGTCTTCTCCCTTGATCTGTCCACCATCATCCAGGGGACCTGGTTCCTTAATGGAGAAGAACTCAAGGTTAACAAGCCAGAGGGCCAGGTGGAGCCTGGGGCCCTGAGGTACCGAATGGAACAGAAGGGTCTGCAGCACAGACTCATCCTGCAAGCCGTCAAGCACGAGGACAGTGGGGCCCTGGTTGGCTTCAGCTGCCCTGGTGTACAGGACTCAGCTGCCCTCACCATCCAAGGTTGGTGCTGGCGGGGCCCCCCAAAGGGCAGACAGGGTCAAGACACGGAAGTCCTGTTGGCCAAATACAGCAAATACTGTTCCCCTTTCTCACAGGCTAAGAAGCTCATATGGAGAGGTCAGAGGCTAATAGGCCAATTTCAACCTGTGTGCAACATACAGGGCACTCATTTTCTCTATAGCATCACATCCCAATTCTCCGGAGTGTTTTATGCTTTATAGAAATCTGTCACTTTTGTCATATCATTTGGGAGGCATGGACCCTGACCTTTAGTTCCTGACTGCTTCCTGCTCCATCATGGCAGTCTCCCTATGTGCCAGGGCCAGTCCGAATCCCTTGACATTAATTAACACTATTCTCTTAACAGCCCTATGAGATAGTCTCTTTTGTCATCCCCATTTTATAAGTGAGACAGCTGAAGCACAGAGAGGTTAAATAACTTGTTCAGCATCACAGAGCTACTGAATGGTGGTGTTGGATTATGAACCCAAGTAGTTTGGCTCTAGAATCCCCCTATGCCACCTGTTGGGACAGGGAAGGAGAGAGGATGAGGCATCCCTGAAGAGGACAGTTAGAGTAGAGAGACTGAGAATTCAAGGAACACTCTAGTGTTTGCCATCTCACCATTACTGGAGTTTGTTAGACCAATCAAGAAATGAGCAGTGCCCA